TCATTATGAGCGGCTATAGCAGTTGCCCCATCAAATCTCAACCTCAAGCATTCTAGTCTACAACCACCAGGACCACTTCCTAACTCATACTCCTCAAGGAGATCAATGCTCCTTCTCCGTCCACCAGGCTCCCTAATCCATTGATCTCAGTGCCTTTTTGCAGTCCTTCGTCTATGTACTCCTCCCTTTCCTCTTACCCTGCTTAATTCAGTGTCATTCATTCTAATCACCCCCTTCCTCCTCTCTCCACTGCATTTTCTCAAAGTACAATCACGATCAAATCCTACTCTTCCATCCATCTATGCCTGCACCCACACAGTAGAACACAAATGGGGCAGGGGATACACCAGTTGTCATCTGATCTTCACCGTCACCAACCTCTAGTGGGCCGGCCCCCCGTTACCACCCAACAACCACACCCTGTTTGCCTACTTCATTCACTCTCCCACCCACTGGACAACTATTTACCCCCTACTCTCTGCCTACACTTCCAATACATTCTTCTCAGCCCTCAGTCACAGCTTTGTTTCACTAAGAAAACAGAAACAGGGCCGGGGATTTAGCTCAGTGGTTCTGCCACCTGCCTCGCAAGCTGAAGGACCCAAGTTTGATGCCCGGTTCCAAAAAAAAAAAAAACAGAAACAATTAGAGGAAACTTTCTTAAGCCCACCTGCCACCATCTGTGTCTACATGGTCCACCTTTCTTCTGCCAACAGTGGCAAAACTGCCCACACTGCTAGCAATGGGCAATCTTTCCACCAGGGGATAAACAGATCCTATCCTCTCCTATCTACTGAAGGATAGAGACCCAGAAATTTGCACGCTTCCTACATTATTTTTCCCCTTTTTCCTGGATCAACAAGTAAAGATGTGGTTATTTCTCCAGTCGTTCAAAAAAAAAAAAAGTCTTCAAATGCTTTTCCTGCCAGCTTGTTATGCTCTTTCTTTACAACTAAGACCCTTAAAATGACAAGTTTTTGCTTGCTGTCTCAAATGTCACTTCTCTCATATTCAAAAATATCCATCACACCAACAAAACTGCACCTGTGAAGATAAGCGGTAAACTCATGTTAAATTCAATGGCCAATTCTTGGCTGTCATCAGCTGCATTTGACACAGATCTCGTCCAAAACCACTTAAGGACACTACTACACACTCCTTCAATCATTCGTGCTCAGTTTCCTTTGCTAGCTTCGCATTTCCCTAACTTTGCCACAAGTGGAAAATTCCACACCTGGTCCCCCGTGTGATGGATTACAGCCAAAGTGTAGGTGCACTAAAATAGTGTATAAAATTACTTTCAGGCTACAAATGTACAATTTATATGAAACAGATGAATTTCAAGTTTAGACTTGAGTCTAATACCCAAGATATCTCATTATGTATATGCAAATATTCCACAATCCAAAATACTTCTGATCTCAAGCATTTCGGATAAGGGATACTACACTTGTAATTCCCTTAGTTATACTTTCTCATGACTTCAGTAATACTCTTCAGAGTGGCATCATCCAAATGTTTACTTCAGCCTTATCCTCAGGCCTGAACCCCAGAGCCTTTACCCAACAGCCTATTCTATGTCTGACTGGGTGCTGCACTGGTCTCTTCCACCTGCCTCTGCAGATTCACCCGCCACCCTGCTCTTCCCTAGGACGGTGACCGGTATGTATTACAACAACAAGTTCCTCTTGTCTTCTGGCTTCCAGTAGGGGAGGCTCATAGAAGCCTTAGCAGAAGAGTAGAAGAGAAACGGACTGTAAGGCCAGATAACTTATGACCACTCAGTGCGGGGCTATGTTCACTGGCTGTAACTGTTAACCAAAAGTGATCGATCCTCTCAAAGTAAACTTGATAGGAATCTCTTCCGCTAGCTGCCCTCCCCCAAACTGTATTATCTATTTCCTTTCCTCATATCCTACCCCTACCTGAGTACATGGTTTCTTTGTCAAAACTTTCTTCTAACTATACTGAGTGGGTTCTGTATTTCTCACAGGAACTTTAATGCAGATGCCTAACTAACGGCTCAGTCTCAACATACGAACACTGAATACACCTCCAGTTTACCCATCTCAGTTAATGGTAACTCCCTTCTAACTGTTCGAGCCAAAAACTTCCACCATCCTTATGTATCTTTTTTCTTATTCCCCCATTCCAAGTCCTCTGTGCTTTTCCCTCAACATGGATCCAGAACCTACCTGTTCCAACTCCACTGCTATCACCCTGGCCCCAGACACTACCACTGCTTGTTAGATTGTTCCAATAGCCTCCTAAATGGTCTACCTGCCCCCTCCACACGCACACCTTTTCCCTGTCTTCCAGCCATTCCAAAACAGCAGAGTGATCCTGTTCAAAACATGAGCTGGCTTCTCATCCCACTCTGTGTAAGAGCACCATCTACACACATGATCTGGTCACATAATGCTTTCTGACCTCTTCGCCTACTTGCACACTCTGCTTCTACCATGCTGGCCATCCTTGCTATTCGCTATACGTTATCTCAAAGCCTTTGAACACACTTCCTGCGATGTCCTCAATGCTTTCTCCTTCACCTGCCTCAGGTCTTTAGTCAAACATTAACTTCTAGGTCAAGATCTTCTCTGGCCACTCTTTTATAAAACTGTCACAGCCCCTATTCACTATTTCTATCCTAAATGATTATCACCATTTACCATTTCTTGTACTTCCTTCAACATCTAGAGTATCCATGAAGCAAGTATTTTAGTCTGTCATAACTCCAGCCTCTAAGACAGGACCTGAAAACACTACATACTTAATATTTGTTGAATAAGCCACAACTAGATATTATTCAATCAAGTGATCACAATTTGAAAAGCCTGACAGTTCACTTGGCAGTAGGGATGGGAAACACTAGGAACTCTAGTTCATCTTGCCTTTGGAGAGCAACATGGCATATCTAAAAAAGTTTATGATGTACACACTTAAGATAGGTTATGTATTCATTCATACAAGTAAGGACAGTATAATAAAAACCATTCTGAGGAGTATGGTCAGCCCACCTAGAGGATGCTCTTAATATTTTACGATCAGAGAATGAACTCTACTTCTCTAAAAGAAACCAATCGAGTGATACAGCAACACATATGAAGACAGCATGGCAGCTCTTAGGATTATGCTATGGTGAAAAGAAACTGATAAATCAGCAGCAAAGTAGAGAAGAAACGTAAGAACACAGCAATAAATATGACTATAATCTTCTGAGAAATTAATCACAGATAAAGCACACCATCTGAGAAGAAACCAGAAGGCAATGGCAGAGTACACTTTTTCAAAGTGTATTTTTAAAAATGCTAAAATAGGGCCCAGGGATTTAGCTCAGTGGTGTGGCTGCCTGCCTTGCAAGTGCAAGGTCCCGACTTCAATCCCCAGTACCAAAAAATAAAAAAATAAAAATAAAATACAAGAATATGAAAAAGAAGAAACACTGAACTCAGTTGCAATATCAAAGTTGTGGGAAAGAGAGAATTCAAAACTGCCTGAAATATTACGCTACTCCCCATATTTTCTTCCTTTTAACTTGGCAAGAATATTTTTATTAAGCTAATTCGCATATTATAAGGAAAAAACAGAGGTCATGTGTACATATTGCCCACTCTTCCCTAATGCTACAGTATAATATCACGACCAGGACAGTAACACTGATAGAATCCAGTGTTACTCAGACTGCTCCAGTTCTATTCAAACTCTCTTGTGTGCATTTGTGTATTAAGTTCTATACAATTTTCTCACTCTAGTGGGCTTATGTACCTGCCGACAGAGTCAAGATACTGAACAGTGCCAGCACCCCAAGGATCCAGCACGTTGCCCTTTTGTAGCCACATCCACATCCCACCCTCCCATCTTAACCTCCTGTTAATCACTAATCGATCCCCCACTTATCCTTGAATTATGCCACACCCTCGTGGTATCTATCTGTACCCCACCCAGCCCTCCTCCACTACTTCCCATCACTGCTCTTTAGCTTCATGGCACCCAAAATGGAGTCAATCTTTGGAAACAGCCAGTCAAGAAGGAATGGGTTGACATTACTGATAGAGCAAACTATCTGAAAGCAAAAACAAAGAGTTTTGGTGTTCTTGTGCACATGTCTCTAACACACTGGTCTCCACTAATGTATATATTCCTGGCTATAAAAGAAGTATATTCTGGGAATTTTGTAAAGCTTCACATAAACATAAATATCGATTCCTGTAAAAGCAAAGGGAACACTTCTGTTTCTAAAACTAGCAAATTTAGAATGATAAGGTTCAGCATCCCAGTTATAAAAAGTTTTATCCATCTCAGACTTCAGTCATCCTATATCAGGACACAGAAACCCTGACTTCCACTTAAAGAAATATTTTCCCCTTGCAAACCATCAAAAACACTTTTACTTGAATTTAAAATCCAAAGAATAAAGAATGAATTGCTAGTTATAAAAATGCAATTTTAAAAGTACAATAAAAGGTCCAAAGGGGTAGGGGAAGTGAGAGGGGTAGGGAAAACAAAGGAAAGAAGGGAAAGGAAAAATGATGAGAAAAGGAAAAAATGGAAACAGTCTTTGTAAATAGGGAAGGGTGGAGGGGGTGAAGGAAGGACAGGAAATGGGGAAAAAATAAGAACCAAGATGCATCATGTACGGGTACAAGCACCCAATGATAAATGTAAATGTATTGTATACCTACAAGGTACCAATAAAAGAATTTAAGGGGAAAAAAAAGAGATAAAGGACAGAAAGAGGCTTGTCTGGGTCCCTTGTGGCTTGTCCACTGCTGGTTTGCTATTTCGATTGTTTCTTGTCTGCTTTGCCACGAGCTGTTTCTCCTCTGCCATGTCCCTCTGCCATATCACCTTGCCTTGGAGTCAGCCAACTATGGAATGAAACCTCTACAAACTATAAGCCAAATGAACCTTTCTTCCTTTAAAAAAAAAAAAAAAGTACAATAAAAGGTCTGAGCAAATTTCACAGCACAAAGCAGTAAGAACGCAAGTGGAATTCATACCTGCAGAGCTCAGGAGGACACTGAAATCTGTTCCCCTCTGTGATTCTCCACTTTCATTATTGACCTCTTTTTCAGTATCTTGATATCGATCCCAGTTAGAGGTGATTTTTCTTTTAGAATAATTTCTCTGTTCGTCATTCTCTTCACTATAGGTCTCTGTATCACTGTCATCTTCAACCTGTAATTATTAGAGAAAAATCAATAAACAGGCAGTAGAAATCTTGATCTTAGTGGCCTTCTCAGTAAAATAAATAAAACTACTACACAGGTATCACAATAGAGTAAATTTGTAGACCACACTGTTTGTGGATATTAAATATTTCCAAAGAACCCATTATATCAGAGTCTTCTTTCAGGGTAAGTTTTTCAGTGAGCATTAAAAAGGAAAATTGAGGGGCCGGGGATTTAGCTCAGTGGTTCTGCTGCCTGCCTCGCAAGCGCAAGGTCCAGAGTTCGATCCCCAGTACCCAAAAAAAAAAGGAAAAACTGAGCCAGGTGTGGTGGTGCATGCCTGTAATCCCAGCATTTGTGAGGCTGAGGCAGGAGGATCACTATGAGTTCGAGGCCAGCCTGGGCTACATAGTGAGACACTATCTCAAAAAAAAAGAGAAAAAGAAAAGGAAAACTGGCAAGTTTCTGCCTGAACATTTGTGTACCTGACCTCTCTAAATCCTACCCCTGTGTATACTATTTTAAATAGTTGTTTCATCTAGGTGAAATAATCAAGGCTGTAAGAGTATTTTATAAATGTTTTATAAACTTTAAATGAGAACCCTACTCAGATTCTAGAGAGGTTTCCACTCTTGTGCATTGAAAAGTTGAGAGAGCATGAAGAGAAATACAGATTTTAAGAAACTCAGATAAAGGGCCCAGTTTCATTAACAAATAAACTGCAAGGGAAAAAATGGTGGGAAAAAAGAGAGAAATCCATAGATCAAAAGAGCTTAATGGGCTAAGGATGCAGCTCCATGGTACAAGGCTTGCACGAGGCCCCTGCTTCCATGTCCAGAATGTGGAGAAAGTATCTTGTAACCCGATTCAAACACTCTAACCATAGGAAATAATCACTCTGAGATAATTAGGAAAATATGAACATAATGACTGAATATTTAATTATATTAAGGGTGTACTATTAATTTTGTTTGGTATGATACTGGTATCATGATTTCTGCATGTGTTCTGACCCTATAAGATACAAAAACTAAACTATGGATTGCAAAACTGCCCGAAACCTAAAAGTTTCCTATAATTTCCTGCCAATGTCTGAGAACCAAAAGATACTGGCAGATTAAAGGTGTGTGATTAAATGAGATCTGCTATATAAATTACCAGGAACATTCTAAAGGGGGACAAATTTGCAATTGATGAGAAATTAGGGGAAACAACTAGAGCTAAAAATACTAGCATTGTTTAGTCTGGAAATTTTAATATTCTTTTCTCATCCCACTGGGCAAATAAAGTTCAGAGAGCCTTCTCCAGTTAGTCTAAAACCTTTAAACACAGCTGTAACACATGACAAAGATGTAAACCTGGGCAAAATAATCATCTTGAGCCAAAAAAAAGACTATGATCTGAAACACCTAAGGAAATATTAGTGCAGTACAACAAGCACTAAAATGGCAGGCAGGAGACCTAGAGAGAACTAATGGTCTTACCAATACCATCATTTAATATCTGTGAAGTGCATATAATAGGCTGGCCTCATGCAGACGAGTGACTCACTAACCCCAAATTAAAAGAATCACCAAGCAAGAACCCCATTACTCCTACACCCAAATGCAAACACAAGAAGAAACAATAAGTGTCATTAGGCCCCACTGCAAGAGAATAGTACAAATAAAGTTTAGAAGATATGGGATGTAGAGAAAGGTGTACCTTAAAAACTCTAAAGAGATTTGGGCCAGGGATTTAGCTCAGTGGTGCCGCCTGCCTCGAAAGCACAAGGTCCAAGTTTGATCCCCAGTACCAAAAAAAAGACTCTTATAGAGATTCTATTTTCACAAAGGCTCATTGTGGACAGATCTAGGACAAAAGAAAAAAATATCCAAAGCCTCAAGGTGGAGAGAATGGAAAGAACAAATGAGATAATACTAATTAAACCAATGTAAAAATAAATGCACCACTTTATGTTAATATCATTTCTAAATTAATCTGATAATTTTCACTGTAATATTTCATAACTTAATCCTGGTCACTGGCTGCAAGGTTCATAAAGTAACAGGTATCTAAATAGGGTAACAAGCTAAAGACCATTCTGTGTCCCGTGACCCCACACACTTGGAACAAGTTGAGATTCTCAACCAGAAAGAGGAGTGTGATGCTTTACAAGTCTTTTAACAGGCAAGGGTCAATCTGACTTCACCTACCCAAAGAATGGAAATGGGAAAATCATTCCGCAAATGACTACTGAAAGTTGACAACAATCTAAGTCTCTCAGGGAAGGAAAATTAGAACAAGAAACATGGAATCTGGCATCTATATGAATTCATCTCGGGATCAGTCTGTGAAAATCCAATGCAAACTATCATTTTTCCACTCAAAAGTAAAAATGTTAACTTTTTTGTTGTTGTTTGGTTTTGTTTGAGGGTTGTTTTTGTTTGGTTGATTTCGGTTGTGGTTTTTTGAGACCGAGTCTTGTTATATAGTTCAGGCTGGCCTTGAACTCACTATGTAGCCTAAACTGGGCTGGAACTCACAAAAATCCACCTGCCTCAGCCTCCCTAGTGCTGGGATTATAATCGTGTGCCACCATGCTCAGCCCACATTAACATGTTCTTAATCCATGTTCCAGATAATAAAAGCTCCTCTAACATCCTATCAAAGAAAGCACTGTATCACTGTAAGGAACTACAGCCTACATTCAGTCATCTAGATAAATGAGATTCAAACCAATTCACAAATATCATGTCACTAGACTCAATAATTACAACTGCCTTCTTTATCAAACTATTTACCAGCACAGCTAGAAGAATACAGAATTTGTCTTATTACCTAATTCATTTCAAGTCATAGTATTAAAACAGCATTAAAATTAAAATTATTAGATATTCAAGAATAGAAAAAAAGAGTAGATAATCCATTTTCCAAAAATAATGACATGTCAACTCTATTTCACTCTCAAAACAAGAGAATCAATAACCCTTTACACACATACACACACACTACATAGTAAGACATAATTCAACCAAGTCTGTGCCACTTCTAACAAAGTTTATTTTCCCACATTATCCATTAACATGTTTCTCATTTCTATGTGACAACCTCGCAAAATCACTTTTATGTCCATATTTCTGCCAACAATCTCTTCAAGGCAATCCAGGCTTTTTCTAGTATGTGCCTCAAAGTTCTTGCAGCCACGGCCCAGGAAACAATCCCAAAGCCATTCTACATTTTAAGGTATTTGTTATAGTAGCACCCCACCTCCTGGTACCAAAATCTATACAGTGTTTCCTAGGGCTATAGTAACAAAGTACCACAAACTTGGTGGCTGAAAACAATAGCAATTTTCCCTCATACTTATGGAGGCTAGAAGCAGGAAACCCACGTCTTGACAGGGTTGCTTCCTTCTGAAAGTTCTGGGAGAATGCGTTCAGTGAACCTCTCTTAGCTGCTGGTGCCTGCAGCAATTCTTGGCATTCTTTGGCTTATAGACGCATCACTGTGATCTCTGCCTCCATCTTCACCCAGCATTCACTCATGCACAGGCAGGTGGGGGCTCGTGTGTGTGTGTGGAAGCGCACGTGCATATCTTGTCCTCTTCTCATGAGAACACCAGTTATACTGGATTAGGATCCATCTTGACCGAGTATAACTTCATTTTATCTTGATCACACTGGCAAAGAATTTATTTCCAAAGGCCACACTCACAGATAATGGGGGTTTAGGACCTCAACATATCACAGTTTTGGGAGGACACTATTCAACCCACAATAAGAGGGAAAAAATAGGTGAAAAATAGCAGGAAACTATTCATCCAAGAAGCTCAATGAACCCCATGTAGTATAAACACAAAGAGATCTAGAGAGATATAATAATAAAAATGCTGAAAGCCAAAAAGAAAATCTTGAAAGTATCAGGAGAAAATGACTCCTCATCCCATGTCAACCCACACAGATGAGCAGCTAACTTCTCAGCAGGAACAATGGCAGCCACAAGCAACAGTACAACATATTCAAAGTGCTCACAGAAAAAACTGTCAACCAGAATCATACCCAGAAAACATTCAAAGAGTGAAATACATTGCAAGATAAACAAAAACTAAAAAGAACAACAACAAAAAAAAAACTAAAGAGAACTAGTTTAACAGACCCACCTTATATATACTAACCTAAATTCTCTAGGCTGAGAAAAATGATTCTGAACAGTAATTCTAGCCCACATGGAGGCGGGGGAAGAGCACCAGGAAGGAAAGGTATTATATAACTGTAAAACACAATACAAATGCCTTCCTTCTGCTGTCTTCCCTTAACAGACTTAAAAGCAACTACACAGAACAGTATGTGTATAATTGTACTGCTGGCTCTAAAACATATAGAAATACATTTGCCAGATAACAGCACAGAAAAGGTAGGTAAGAACAACACTATGCAGACTAAAGAAATGACTGAGAAAGGCAGCTCAACAGTCAGGAACAAAGAAACGGGATATGCCTACTTTTGTTTCTTCTCTCATATTCTTTAAAAGATAAAATTACATTAAGATAGTAGGCTAGGGATATGTGCCCTTCCATATTTTATCCTTCCTCCGCCACCTCCTCATTTTTTAATCATTAGCACTGTTGGTTCCAAGTGTCTTAAATTTCTCACAACATTTTTACTGGCTACAATCGAAACAGACTCAGTATACTAAGGGCTTGACCAGTCCCTCCTTCCCCCCTGCCAAAAATTTTTAAAATAAAGCAGAGTCTTCATAGTTCAAGACACCCTTCTTGCTTCAACTGAAACTCTAAGTGGCATTTATCTTTCCATTTGTCTATCCTGCAATATATCCAAAGGACTTTTTTGCTCCTTACGCTACTTGACTGTCAACACGTGTTCCTTGAGTAGTTACTGAACTACTGAACGGGCACAGGGTCAGGCTCTGGGAGTACAGCCAAGACAGACAAGGTCCCCAGGCTTCAGAATTCATCTATGGTGTGACAGTGCTACTATGAGACATTCATGTTACGGGAGTATCAAA